TCACAATTATAATGAGTCTTAAGATTTTACACAATTATCCAAGTCACATACAACTAAGACCAGGAAACTGAAGTTACATAAAAAGCAGACAACATTTGTCCTCATTTCTCAGTTGGAACAGCTGGAGGAACAAGGAACCAGACAGTCCAACCTCACTTGGCCATATCTATCAGACTCTGCAAAGACGTGGGCACCCAAGTCTTCTCCCCCTGCACAAACACAACCCCTCTATCAATGTAGATGACGATTCGTCCAAATGTGTACAGCTGTTTGCCCTCATGCCGTTTGGCCACTAAGGGCATAAAGACGATATTGTTTTCCTCTGCCTTGGTCTGGATGAGATCTTTAAAGTTGGTTGGACCACCAGTGCTGATGCCTCTGTGAGCCACGCTCTCCGCATCCCTGCGCTCCTGCATGGCTTCATACTGGAAGTCCTTCCTTCTCTCTGTCTGCGTGAGATACGCAATGTTCTCCCTTGCCCCAGGCTGCATGTATCCACCTGTTGAGACAAAAAAGAAATGTAATGTTTTGGTACAGATGACAAAAAAAGTGGATTTCTGCTTTGTCCTATATTATTATGTCTTTAAATCCTGAGACTGTGTGCAATACTGACCCATGCCTGAAGACACTGCACGGTTCATGATGTCCAAAGCCTCATTGAACTTCTCTTTTATGAGTGGCTGTGCCAACAAGACATCACTGAACATGCTTTTCCAACCAAGGTACCATTTAGTGATTTCCTCATAGTTAGGACTGTTGCTCAACCATGAACACAACACCTATAATCAACAACAAAAAAACACACAAAGGTTGAAATGAAACATCAAAAATGATCAGATGTCTCTGACAACATCTTTAACAATCTCTGTAAAAATATGACGATATGTCCACAGACCTGCAACCATTTAGTAAAGAAGTTTTTGTCCAACAGGGACACAAGGCTGGAGGGGGACAACATGCCCTCCCAGTCCATCACCCAGTGAAATGGCTCCATCTGCTGCTGGTGAGGGTTGATAACCAGCTCCTCCAGACACAAAGCTGTGGAAGGAGATAGGAATCGTCAAATAGAGACAAGTAGTTTGTGGAACAGGAGGAGAAGAGAGACAGCATTGCTATGGTATCCTTGTGGTCGTCACTGATGAAGACATACCTAACTTCGGAATGATGTTTTTCACCATAAAGGCCTCCCATGCACCTGGAGTGAAAACATCTTTCCATGGTTGCAGGATGAGGCGGGCCGAGGTGTCACTGGGATGCCATCGTTGCAATGCATTGGACAGTTTGCTCCTGATGGGCGGGTACAGAGGCTCTAGACGTGATTGGAGCAGAGGCAGCCAAGGGTGGATCCAGGAGTGGATGGGTACTGTGTCAGTTAAAGGGTTCCAGTTATCCACCTATCAAACAGGAAACAAAGAGATACAAATGATGAAAAGAAGGAAAGTATCAACAAGTAATTTATGGGAAAGGATCGGGGAGTTTGGGGGTTTCTTCACATCTAAGACAGTTGAGAGTATGTGTGTGTGTCTTGCCTCTCGCTGCAGTCGGGGTAAGATCAGCTGCTCCAAAAGATTATCCAGGATCCACAGGGGAAGAAGAGGAGCCCACACCTCTACACAGTCCACCATCGCACCGACCATACGAGGCTGCCAGCATGACACACAGGTCCGCATCACTGGGATCCACACTTCCCACAACACTCTGGAAGAAGAAAGTTGCATTCAGTAAAAACAAGTTGTAACATATTATAAATAGAATTCACTCATACAACTAGATGATTAAAGCTGAATATCTGTTTAAAATGACCTGTGGTAAGGGTCCATATTTGAATCTGGGCCGCTGGAATGGAGGTTTCTAGTTTCAAGGATTGCTCTCCACTGGCCGATGTCTTCCAGACAATAAGAGCTGTCCTGAAAAAGTGAAAAAGAATTGGTAGCTAAATTATTAAGGATTAAATAATGACAAAGCATTGTTACCTTAAGAAAAGATAACTAGAAAAGCATACCTTCAGTGGGTCCCAGGAGCAAAGTTTCTCTTTGAGTAGTGGATGAATAACAGCTACAGCCAAGTCTGACAATCCCATTGTCTTGTATTCTTCATAATAATCTGTTTGTAAGGTCTCAAAGATCCGGGCACATTCCTGAACAAAGGGCAAAGAAAGCACCCAAATAAATTACGTTTGTGGATTTGAAAACAGAGCAGAGACTAATAAACCGAAATAATTTGATAATGTTAGCTGTTAGTCTGTGTATGCACCTGCAGGGTGGGTCCCTCCCCTGGTGCTGTGTCCCCAGAGGGAAAACGCTCCACCAGTGCCAGTACAGCCTCCATTCTCTGGATGGAATCTTGCTCTGCCTCCAGTCTGGTCTGCAGTGCCCGTGACTCGTGGCTCAGAGACACAACTACATCTTTCTCATGCTGGAGACGTCTGGCAGACTGCATCAAGGTTTAACATGATGAGAATAATGGTACATGGAAAATTATAGAGACCACAACATCATAAACATTGCTGATACACCTCATACCTGCAATATGTCCTGTTCTGTGAGGTCTATCAGTAGCTGCAGGTTATGTTCAAGCTCAGGCAAAGCAAAGCCAGTTCCCTTCTGATCCCTAGTGGAGAGGCTTGGTGGAGCTTCATCTGGGACGCTGTGCTTGTTGGACATCTGGCTGTAACTGTAGTAAACCTTTTGTTCTCTTCCAGTCATATCTATCACCTAGAGACGGGGAGATAATAGGTAAACGAGATTCTGAGAAAAGAAATTGGCGGCCGACCACAGGCTTACTTTCCTGAAACAATCCCACACAGAGGGTGGCATTGTGTACTATTATGTTTAGTTTCTGAATCTTATTACATTACAGCGTCATTCAATTAGTGTAAAGATCGAAGGCATAGAACACTGTTAACATTCCTATGAGGCTACAGCAAAGGGATGTTAATACTTGAGTCCCTTCGAACATACCTTGACCTGTGCCAGCTCTCCAGCGGATGCTGCGGTGCTCCGCCCTGCCAGTTTGCCTTTAGCCTTCAGCTCATCCACAGTTCTGTAGGAGTACTTGGGCTTCTTCTTTCCTATAGGCCCTGCAGGATCCTTACGCCACTGGCCGAGCTCCTTCTGAAACTCCTTCACAGACAGGAATTCAGAAACATGTCAAAAATAATGGAGACACTATACACACCCACTTATCTAAAATTCAGTCTAAATTGGAAACTTAGGCAAAGATATATTTGTCAAAAGAACCTTTTCCTCTTCTTCCTCTGAGTCGACCACAGGAAAATCCTGGAGACTCTGCTTCGTTCGCTCGTTTCCATAAGCGCCCACTGCTCCTTTGCCTTTACGAACTTTTGCCTCAATGGGGTTTACAATACCTGCAACATTAAGAAAGCAATATGTACATCAGCTTGCCTTTGTTGCTTCTATAAAACATACAGTGTTACTCAACCTCTCAATCACATGGCCTCCTCAGAGTCACCCACCTTGTGCATTCTTGCCCAAGCCTTTGCCTGGCTGGTAGCCCATCTTCTGCAGAAGCTTCTGACCAATTCCCTTTGTGTGCTTCTCCCAGTTACCAATGCCTTGTCCAGAGTGAATGCCACCGGCAAACCTCTGGGCCTGGTTCTTGCGGACATTGCCCTGCTAATAACAATACATTTTGATAATTCATATAATTGTCCATGTAATGTTCTGTTGCAGAGTACACTGCAAAAGGTTGAAAATGCATACATAAGTAATTTTACCATCTGCAGTTTTCTGGGTGCAGTGCTGCGAGGGGGAGAAGGTGCTGAAGGAGCATCGTCATCAGAATCATTGGAGTCTTCTTCTCCTTTTTGCTGCTGCTTCTCCTCAGCTGCAGTCTTACGCAGGCCAGCACTCACAAAGTTCACAGGAACAGTGTAGTCTTTAGATCTAGAGAGGACACAATTGACTTGTTAATACCACTTTTAACATAAAGCAATTGTTGGTGATGTTTGTACTTCTCCTCTAGGGATACCTAAAATTAAACAAACCAACGCCTTACTTCTTGCCTCCAAAGCTCGGCCTCTCGTCCTCATCTGAGTCTTTGTCAGCCCAGATACCATAGGTGGCCTGGTCCTTGGTCTGCCTGTGTCTGCGGCGGTCCGGGTTGAACTCATTGGCCAGATCCCAGTCTGTCACCTCAAAGCTCTCAATCTCCACACCTTCCTCCTCCTCCTCCCCTCCTCTGCGCCCATACAGGTGGGACATGGACATCTCTGGATATCACAACAAACACAACATCCTGATGATTAAAGAGGTGATAATGTGGATCTACAGGCAGCTCCGTGCCAACGGAACAAACTGATAAAAACCACGAGATGTGGCTGAAAGCTTGGTGAGTAGGATGAGAGTCTGTGTTAACTCATCGTTACATCCAGGTATTAGCTCTTCTACAGCTACTAGCATGTCTCAGGAGTTTGTCCAGAGAACATGACAAAAAAACACAATTAACCAAGTTAATATCAACTGAAAGAAAAATACAAACAACGTCTCACATGTAAATAGCTTGCTAGTGGGAGTAACACCACTACTAACAACTGCTGTAGAGAAAACAACGTGAAGACTAGCTAACGTTGAGTAGCACAAGCTAACCTTAGCTTTCATAAACTACTCGTTTTACAGGAAACAAAACTGGCGTCCTGGGAAATAATGACACCCTGTTATTTAAATTCACTAGTCACAATGATTATGGTGTAGATTATTATCTTACTTGTAGATTATTGCAGCATTAGAGACGATCCAGCTCAGAGCAGTTAGCTTCTTCGTATAACACACGAAATGAAAACAGAATTACTTCCGGTAAGCACCGGTGTTCCGTTAAAGGTTGAACCCCGGAAATGAACAGGTAAATTTCTCAGATTTACAGAAGTAGATAAAGTAATTACATAAATGTTCTTACATTTTACATTGATGAATTGTATCAATTATATTCATTTGATAAAAATTAACCAGAAATACAAAAAAAGTCATGACACCGGAAGAGCACGCGCGTGTGTCACACTCAATGTAGTCCCACGTGTTGCATGTTCTCCGACACTAAACAACGCTTGAATGACGACACGGGTGTTTTTGGTGGGACTCTTGTTCGGGGGTGAATCGGTGTAGATGTCGGACACCGGAGAGGAGTGGCAGGTTGCCCGGCGACGAAAAGGCGCAGCGCGGAAGTCAAAGACACCTCAGGGGAGTTCAGCCTCAACGTGCAGCCAGGAGCCGCTGGATGCGGAGAAAACTGTCAAACGAATCAGAGACGCGGCGTAAGAAACCTGGACCTGATCAAGCAGCATCTTCTGAAATATAAATCACATTCAAGCAGGATATACTCGTTGTCTCCGCTGGTTTGTGCACAATCTCTGCAGAGTCCCTGTGTAACGCTGCTGCTCTGCTCCCTTCACAGGTCTGAGCTGAGGTGTGAGGAGTTCTGGCAGGAGTGGAAAGGTGATTGTCCAGGACAGGGTTGCCAAGTCTGCATGACAAAACCAGCCCCCATACGAGAACTCAAACTATACCAATCAATAAATCAAATTATATTCGTATAGTCCTTATTCACAAATCACAATTGATCTCTTAGGGTTTAACAAGGTGCAACATCCTCTGTCCATAATCCTCAACAAGAGCGAGGAAAGCTACCAAAACACTTCTCTTAACAGGGGGAAAAGCAGAGATTCTTTGTGTGCCAGCATTACACACATTTAACCTAAACAGAGCATATGATGTTTTAACTAAATCACCTCCATTTGCCTGGATGACATGAACGTACTATTGATATATTTACTGTATTCAATGCAACACCTTACTTCAGCTAAATAATCTTACCATGTTTCTTCACTGTATTTTATTCATACACTTTTGCATTTTTATTAACCATATATCAGATGAAACACCATGTTATGTTAATCCATAACTTCTTAATAATTTAGGTTATTCACAATATATACACAGATGAGCCACAACATTAAAAACCTGTGAGTGGTTAGGAATTAGCATGATAAGGTGCATCAGCTGAAATAACAGTGAAATGACACTATAGTAAATTCATGTCTTTAAGGCAGGGTGGAGGAGACAAAGCAAAGAGAAAGCAAAAACTAATGATTAAGTTTGTGTGTTATGTGCAAATGGTCCATGTATATGCATTTATATATCATTAACTGTTCATCTTGTAGAAGGCTGAACTTGATCTCTTTGCAGCAAAAAAAGAAAAACATCCTTCAACTGGGAATATTTATGATTTCCAATGTCTCTTGTTTTGATGCTTTGGGATCCCTTGTCGTCTTAGTCCAAAGCAAAACAGGTCTTCTTTTCATTTAACTTGCATCTTGATGAACCTGATTGTTCTGCAGGGCTGTTGCTAGCGGCAGGATCGACATCCCGCTCCAAACCTCCAGAGAACAAGGGCCCTGAGGATCCTACTGAGCAGCTGCAGGAGGACAGGGAAGACAGGAAATGTCAGCAGCTCGAGTGTGTGTGTTACGGCCTCGGCTCCTTCTCCTCCTGCGTCGCGGCTCGTTACCAGCTGGCCACTCTGCTGCTGCTGCTGGATGCAGGACAGGTCAGACATGGATCAGTGAGATAACCCACAGCACTCGCATGTGGCCCTGTTCATCATACACTGTGTCACTGCTCTGCTCCCTTTAGATTCCACTGGAGGCCTGCTTTGTTTATGACCCTGTATTCTCCACTGGAGAGAGGGACGTACTGAGAAAGCTGGGTCTCACTGTACTCACAGAAAATGAGGTCAGTTGATCTCTTGTGTTTGCTGTGAATAATCAGACCAATCCAGTGTTTTTTATGAGTTTAACTTGTTTGATCCAGATTATGAATGCACAGATTCAGCATTGCTAAATTGCGGGCTCTTTTTCATATCATAGCACAGATGAGCATAACGCTTCTTAATTAGAAACTAGAAAAATTAGAAACAGGACTTTACAATAAAACAACAACACAGGTTCTACATGGAGCTTTCTACATCTCTCATCTTCCTAATCAGAATTCGTTCTGTTGTCATGGTGACAACCACATTGGTAAAAGACAACATCAGCTGTCTGTGAGCACCAGACCTACACTAGACACAGCACTGACCAGGAGTTAGGAAGCCACTGGTTTCCATTCATTGTCAGTAAAGTATTTCACTGACAAGGACTAAACACTATATTATTATATTATTCTTGGCTGCTATCTCAGATGTAAGCACGGACAGATTTGTAAAATCTTCTAGTGTAGGAAACCAAGTTTTCAGAGTCAGTAATCAAAGATGAAGCATTTCTTTAGAGCTTGACTGATAATTTAACACACTGTGAAAAATGTAGCATATAAATTGTTGTTATGAATAATGAATCGAAGGACCCCTCTCAAGCAAGTTCCATAGATTGCCACCTTCCCTCAACGGCAGTCTGTTTCACTGTTCTCTATTGTGCAGGAAGGGAAGTGTTTGGCAACAAAGCCCACTCTCTTTTTCCTGATGCATTGTGGGAAAGCCCTTTACAACAACCTTCTCTGGAGGAACTGGAGCACACAATGTCTTCCTTCTTTGACAATCATTGGAAACAGCTTTAACAGCATGAGGGACAGGTTTGTACAAGACAAGAATGATGGAGGGAGGTTTAGAAAAACTGAAGGAGAGAGGAGGTGACACTCGCTCTCTATTTTACCAACAGGACGATCGAGAGAGAGTTCGATCGGGACTACAGCTACATCAGTCAGGCTGTGGGTGTGTGTGAGGAGAGACGGCTGCCTTGTCCACCCCGCTTCATTGACGTCTTCAGTGACACAGCAGTCATCACCTTTCCTGCCAGCAGCGTTAACAGACTCCCACAATCCACCTGGGCAGAGCCACCCGAACCACAGTACCAACACTGCTCTGATTTGGAGATCATACGAAGGCAAACGCAGAGCTGAGATTGCACTTGGGACTTTTTTTGCTATTGCAATTTGCAATTGTTGCTATTGATATGACCAGTTTTTGAATAAATGAACTATGCTTCAAATTGAGGGCTGACTCTTGAGGAAGAAGAGGAAAAAGATAATATTGTCCATCTTGGATGAATTTAACCTGGTGTTTGAGCAGCGATTGATAACTAATGGCAAAGAATTGGGAGGATTTCTGAAGTGTTTTACGTATCTGGTGCTTTTACAACCACATTACAGCTGGCAATTTTCATTATCAGTCAGTTAAATATGAAAATCTCCGACCCTTTGCTGCATGCATTCCTTTGTTTTCTCTCCCCCCTTCACACTTACATCATTTCCTATCAATAAAGGCCAATATTATCTAAAAATATATTGAGAAAAATTGTTAGATTGGGCGTTTGTACATCTGACAGATGATTAAAATACGTTAAAGAAGAGAAGACAAGTTTAATACTCAGAGTAAAAAGTTTATTGTTGGAAAAAAATAACACTCAACAGTACAGCCCTCTCCCTGCATCAGTAATAACATCTCCAACACAAAGTAATACTCATCCTCTCACTCTCTGCTTTCTCATTCTGTGCTTCACTCGATCAAACGACCTCTCGGATCCTGGCAGAGTTTTATGTTACAGCAGTGACGTTAGAAAAACTTGACTACAGCAGTGTTTTCTGGTGTGATATGTGTTCACTCCTCAGCTACTCCATTGGCAGTGACTTTATCTGCGACTCCATTGACTGCTGTGTCTTTGTGTCCTGTTCCATTTGCTATGTTTGATTTTGAAACAACATCAGCCCAGGTGCCCTTACTCTTCAGGACTGATGGTGTAGCCTTGGTGTCCCTCACTCCATTAGATTGACCATCTTTCTCATCTGACTTCATCTGCGCACATGTTGCTCCAGCTTCCATCTCCCTGTTGGCTGTGCTGCTCTTCACCTCCTTTTCTACACTGCTCTCAGTTTCCTCTCCTACAGCCCTGACCTCTGACACCCCATTCACCATTTTCACCTCAGCGGCTCTGTCACCTTCCTCCCTGTTCTCTGTTTTCTCCTCATGCTTGTTTTGCTCCGCCGGCTCCACCACATGCCCATTAACTGACACTGCAGCAGCACCCACCACCGACACCTCTTCCACCGACTCATGTTGGCGTTCGCTGTTATTCTCCGCCGTTGGGCTTCCTCCATCCTCAGCTTCCTTCCCGCATCCTGTTTCTTTATCCAAGTTTTTCTCTCCTGCCTTCACAGTCTCTGAGGCGACGAGCTCACTAGGAAGCTTGAGTCCCAGTTCTTTTAAAGCTGCAGCTTTTCGCTCCAGGTGTTTCTGCTTATACTCCTGGAACCTGTCACTATGAAAATGAAATGAGTAGTTGTAACTGGGAACAATATGACTATGACTTCACTATTGTATTTTTCAACAACAAGCTGTTTGGATCAGGATATACAGCATGGACCAAAATTACTTTAATAAACACATTCAAGGGATCCTTATCATGAATGTCTGTTCATGTAATGTGACTATAAGCCAAGATATAAATATTGCATTTGAAAAGATTTGTTTTTTAAAGAATAGCTAAGCAGCATTTCAGCATCACATTCAACACATTTCATATTAGTGATATTTACCTTTGTGTGATGTTCCTGATTCCGGTCAGAAGAACCATCTGCTCCAAACTGGTCTCAGTTGAAGGAGTCAGACACTGAAGACACAGAGGACGCTGAGGTTAACGTACACATTTATCCATTTCTTCTTCTTAAGATTCAACAATGTTTCAGTGTTGTGCCAGAGCTCCAGCCAGACACATACCTCCACTGTTTGCTCCGTACTGTCAGCTCCTGCCTGTCTGAGAGAGCGCTCCACCTGCACCGCCTGTTTGGTGATGGTGCACAGAAACTCTTTGCTGCAGCTTGTCTGATGATGATCATGTCCAAACTGGGAAAAGAAATGAGCCATAAGATAACATCCACCCACACCCAAACCAAGCCACTTTTACTTGAACTCATACATATACTGACCAATGAGGTGAAAGCAGTGAGCGCCTCCTTCTCATGGGTCATAGCACTTCTGTAGTCTCCCTTACTGCACATCCACTGGGCCATCAGGTGCTGACTGCACAGACAAGAAACCAGCGAGAGAAACAGTGATGACCAATGCAAACAAAATATTGGTGCCAGCTATAGATGTCAACTTACTTGAGAGCAGTGTGCAAGTCTGTGGCGCCGAAAAAGGAAGTGTTGAGTCTCAGAGCATTCTTTAGGAACTGCCCTGCCTGCTCTCCTGTCAGCACCAACCCAAGACAGCTCTGCCAGGAGACAATGAGACGACTTTATGCTTTTGTCGAAGCAGATCTTTTTTTATAATGTTGTGAAATCAATAGCATGACAGGGTGAAGTGATTATTGAGGTGTTGCAACCTACATCCAGTGTCGCGGTGTAGGGATGGTCTTCTCCATGCACTGTTAGCAATAGCAGGCGAGCTCTGAGGAGACACTTCTGAGCCAGGGCCGTCTCTCCTCCAGCATACATGTACACACCCAAGAGGGTCTATAACACAAAACATAACAACCACATGTAAATAACCACATATCCTGAACATGTTCAAGAATGCTAATGTGTAGATATACTCACATATTGCTGGATAGTGTTTGGATGGTCAAAGCCCAGCACCCTCTCACTGATGACCACTGCTTTCAGCTGGACGCTGCGAGCCTTTAGGAGTCATGGAGATGAGAGGAAATTAAAGTATGTAGAAATACATCATTTGAAGTGAAAACCATCATCAAAATTTACTTAACATTATCTAAAGTAAAAAATACTCGTAATTCAGAATAGTCCCTTTTAAAATTGTATATCTTTACTATTATTTGATTTATTTGATTCACTAATTATTGATATACTGACATGTAAGCAACATTTTATCATATACAGTATACAGCATAGAGAATGTATTGGTTAGTGTCACTGTATCATAGCTTCCATGTTGATATTTGTTTTGTATGAAAGTTTGACTGCAAATTAACTAGTAACTGTAGATGGACATTAAATGGGTAAATGTACTTAGTTACCTTTCACTACTGCAAAGTAATGTTGTTTTTCAGCTGGGATGAAATGTGGAACACAAACCCACCTCTGCTGCTTTTCCCTGCATGAAGGCCACCTTGGCCAACAGGCTGTGGCAGTGACAGGCCTCAGGGTGCAGGTCATCACACACTCGACCAAACAAGTAGGATGCTTCCGTTAAGTGCTCATGGGCCTGATCCAGCAGACCTGCAGTTTAAATAAATATATACAGAATTCACCTTTCATTTAGATTTAGTTGAAATACATGTATAGTATACTGTATATCGTGCAGCTTTTTTAACCCACCTTTCTGAATGGAGTTATGTGCAGCACGATATGCTTTAGAAGCATCCACACTTGGCATGTCAACGTGCTTGACAACAGGGAAGATGTTGAGGATATCATCTGGACCAATAGGAGCTTTAGTCTGGTTGTCAAGGTAGTAGTCCCTCAATCTCAACTGGCATAGACACAGAATTAAACATGTTCACCATTAATTCATATTTCTTCTGAAGATTTTATCTGGAAACTTATTACTAATGTATGTAGTTCAGTTGATCTTGTGACTTATTCTAATTGGTTTATAATAAACTGAATCCATATTTCAGATATTTGTTACCTGGACTCCTGTCTTTAAACAGAACTCTCTGAGCAGAGAGAGCTTCTGAAGGCCATACCGCTCTACCAGGTGGTTTGGACCAGAGCTGCCAGCAAAGATAACAGTCGTTTGAAAACTAGTTCTCCAGTCGTTGCATAATAACGAGTACAAAGTGAGAACAAACAAAGGCTGTGTGCTCACCCGAGGCTGTCAGAGATGTTATATGTCTCAGTAGCATCCTGACAGACCAGGTTCCACAGCTCGGGCCCTGTGAGCGTGCTCCATGGTGTGCTCTCAGAGGCCCCAGCCCCACGACCACGCCGCTTTGACTTCTTTTTCGTCTCCTCCCCTACATGAGTGGGCATGAAATGGGGAACCAATAGGCAGCAGAGGAAGTGACTGACAGCTGCACAGAGACAAGGCACATCCACACCCTGCAAAGACATGGACACATATTCATTGTTCCTGGAGCGTATGGACACACACGAGCTATTTCACCAACCGACTGCTACTCTGTAAACACAGCAATGTTCGCGGCAGACGACAGTAAAGTACCTGGAGGAAGCTGTTGAACACTCTTCTTGTGGAGCGGATGAAAACTTCACCCACAACCAATCTCTGTTGAACCCAAACAGAGGAACAGAAGAAAGCACAAAGAGATGGGTTAGGGGAGCGGTGACATTTTAATTTAAGGTTTGTTTTTTTGTAAATAAAACACACCAATATATGCCTCAGGTGCTCCTTGTGCTCTGATTGACTGATGGCCTTGATCACATGACCCAGATACCGCAGGTTGATGCCTCGCTGGTGCAGTGCCTGTTTCAGAGAAGCTCCATCCATTGGTGCCTCATAGTTTAGTAGGCAGTGCTCCACCTACGTAAGTGCACACATACATATATGTTTGATAAGCTTGTTTCGTTTTCACACAAGATGATGAGCCTCTTAAATTGCGTTAAGGAAGGATTCCCTCACAAAGCCTGGTATCTGGTGTGTGATGATGAAAGCTGCTGCTTCCTTCAGTAACCTCTCCTGCTGGTTTACTGATGCACGTTCAGAGGGAGGGAAGGATACTCCTATAAACACAGAGCACAAGATGCATGTCATACATGGTTCGATTAACAGGGGAGCTCCCGTGAAAGCCTACTTTGAAATGTTTAGGGGATGTTTGTTTCAGATCACAAAGTATGATATGATAATGTGTGTGTGTGTGTGTGTGTGTGTGTTTGTGTGTGTTTGTGTGTGTGTTTTCACCTGGAGAAAAGACATTTGGGTTTAAGCGTATCTCAAAGATGATGTCACTAGATGAGCCCACTTCTTTACAAGCAGCTCGTACTGCATTAGTGGATCGAGAGTCACCTGTAAGAATAAAAATGAATGTATGAAAAGTATAAAAAGTGCTGAAGATAGAATTTTGGTTAAATCCAA